CTGTGAACATAAACTGCAACACCGCCTCCAAGTATCAGTACGGTCTCTACGATACAATGAATAATTTTCAACTGAAAGAAATGAATTTGGTATAGCAGGAGTCAGCCATGATTCTGATATAGCCATAACATGTGCTTGTGTCTGAGCAAGTAAGTATTACTTTGAATTCATCCAGTTTAGGTACAAGACTTCTATTTAAATGACAGATTTTAAAGCCTCTAATTTTACCTAGTTGATTTAGCATCCCTGGATTTTTTTAGACAGGAAAATCGCTTTTGCTTTCTTACTGATGTAGTGTTCAGACTTGACATAACAGGAGGTTGTCTAACCTTTTCAGGATATAATATAGATCCCTGTGTAGACTGTAATTGAGTTGGATTTATATAAGATACACCTGTGCACAAACCAAGGTCAAGATAATTATTAAAAACATATGTATAAAATCCCATAAAATATAAAAAAGTGGACTTAAAAACATTTTTATCTGGACCTGGATTAAGTTCAATATTTCCAATGACTAAAATAATATTATTATTGTGATGTTAATGTTTGTGGTGCTTTTGGCTGTGATCATGCTGGTGGTGATTGTGCTGATCATGGTGACCTTATGGTGGGAGTGATGGTTATGTTTGTGGTCATTTTGGCGGTGATTATTGTGTTTATGCTGATGTTGGTCATCATGGTGGTCATGATGGTCATGTCAACAACCCTAACCTTGGTTGTTTGCCTCATTTGTCTCTATGTGTGGCCCTCTGACGGACTTGCAACCTGTTCAGGGTCTGCCCCGCCCCTCGCACCGTAATTGCTGGATATGTGCGCCAGTGACCCCCGTGACCCTAGAAAAGGAATAAATGGGTATATAAAAGGGATGGATGGAAGGATGGATGAATGGAGGTCATGTTTGTGATCATCCTGGTGTTGGTGATCATGGTCATGGTGTTCATCTTTTTGTTCATGATGGTCATCTTGGTGGTCATGGTGGTCATGATTGTGATCATCCTGGTGTTGGTGATCATGGTCAAGATGTTCATTTTCGTGTCTGTGTTGATCACAGTTATCATCAGTGTTGTTGTCATCATGATCACCTTCGTGGTTGTGCTCATGGTGGTTGTGATGTTCATGTTTATGGTCATCCTGGTTGATGTGATCATTCTGATTTTGGTGTTTGTTATGGTCATGGTGATCATCCTTGTGGTGCTGGAGGTCTTGATGATTATGTTTGTGTTTATGTTCGTCATGGTGGTGGTTGTGATCATGCTTGTGTTGCTGACCGTGGTGGTCATTTTGTTCATTTTTGGGGTTTTGCTGATCATGGTGGTCAAGTTTCTGGTTATGATGGTCATGTCCATGGTCGTGGAGATCTTGGTGGTCATGGTGATCATCTTCATGGTTGTGTTCGTAATAGCATTCATGGAGGTCATCTTTGTGGTTGTGATGTTTTTGTTGGTGGTCATGGTCAACGTGATGTTGGTCGTTGTTCTGTTCATGATGGTTCTGTTCATCATGTTTGTGATTATTCTGGTCTTGGTGACCATGATTACCATGGTGTTCATCTTTGTGGTTGTAGTCATTGTTGTCATGTTTGTGTTGGTGATGCCTTTGATCAGTGTAGTGGTTGTGGTTGTGACTGTATTTTTTATTGTGGTGATTGTGTTGTTGATGGCCATGGTCATATTCAGGGTCATGTTCATCGTAGTAGTGCTGGGTATGTTGGCGATCATCAGTTTGTTTATGATAATGTTGGTAGTCTTGGTTTTCATCTTTGTGGTTGTGTTGGTCATATTGGTCCTGTTTGTGGTTATGTTGGTGCTCATGGCCTTGGTGTTGATTGTGGTGTTCGTAATTGTAGTCATGATGATCATGTTGGTCAAGTTGGTGGTTGTGGTAGTGTGGGGAATCATATTGGTGCTTGTTTTTTTGGTGTTTGTGGTGGTCATCATTGTCATCTTTGTGGTGATGTTGGTCGTGGCTGTCATGTTGGTGGTCATGGCCATGTTGGTAGTTGTGGTAATCATGCTGGTGTTGATGAGCATGGTTGCCATGGTTATGTTGGTGGCTGTGGTCATTGTCCTGTGGGTGCTTATGATTGTGTTTGTGTTTGCCGTGGCCATGGTGGTGGTCATCATGATAATGCATGTCAGAGGAATGTATAGAGTCATCTTGGCTATATTTATGGTCATGGTGATTGTTTTTACTATGATCATCTTTGTGGTTGTGTTGATCATGATCATCATGGTGGTGGTTGTGATTATGATGATCATGTTTGTAATCATCTTGTTGTAGGTGATAATAATGGTCATGGTGTTCATCTTTGTGGTTGTGTTGGTCCTGTTGGTCATGTTCACTGTTTTGGTTATCATGATCATGTTTGTAATTATCTTGGTGTTTGTGATCATGATGGTCATGGTGTTCATCTTTGTGGTTGTGGTGGTCATATCGAGTATGTTTGTGTTCATTTTGATGGTCATGGTCAAGGTGATGATGGTGGTGAATATGCTGGTGTTGGTGATCATGGTGATCATCTTCATGGTTGTGATTGTCATTGTGATCATTTTTGTAATCATGGTGGTTGTGATGCCCATGTTGATTTTTATGGTGTTTGTGATGATGATGGTGTTGCTGATTGCGGTGGTCATGATGTTCATCTTCATTGTTGTGATCATTATAGTGGTCATCTTTGTTATTGTGGTTGTCATGGTGCTTATGCTGTGCATGTTGCTGGTCTTTCTGGTTGTTGTGATCATGCTTGTGTTTGTGTTCATGAGAGCCTTGATTGTGGTGGTTATGATGGTGTTTATGCAGGTGTTGGTGATCATAGTGGTCGTGTTGGTGGTTGTGTTGGTGATCATGGTCATGATGATTATTGTGTTTGTGGTGGTCATGGCTATTGTCACTATAGTGATCAAGGTACTTTGAATGCTCATATTGGTCATGATGGTCATGATAGTCATGGTGGTCGTGTTTGTTCTGATGTTGGTGATCATGGTGGTGCTTTTGTTTGTAGTAGTTATTGTGGTGTTCATGTTCATGTTGGTGATCATGCTGGTCTTTGTGATCATGGTGGTCATGTTGGTGATCATGCTGATCTTTGTGATCATGGTGGCCATGCTTGTCTTTGTGGTCATGTTGGTGGCCATGCTTGTCTTTGTGATCATGGTGGTCATGTTGGTGATCATACTTGTCTTTGTGATAATGGTGGTCATGTTGGTGATCATGCTTGTCTTTGTGTTCATGGTGGTCATGTTTGTGATCATGCTGGTCTTTGTCATGATACTGGTCTTTGTGACCATGGTGGTCATGTTGGTGATCATGCTTGTCTCTGTGATCATGGTGATCATGTCTGTGATCATGCTTGTATTTGTGATCAAGGTGGTCATATTGGCGATTATGCTGATCTTTGTCATGGAGGTCATGTTGGTGATCATGTTTGTCTTTGTGATAATGGTGGTCATGTTGGTGATCATGCTTGTCTTTGTGATAATGGTGGTCATGTT